ATATATATATATATATATATATATATATATATATATATATATATATATATATATATATATATATATATATATACGGTTTTCAATTTCAATTTAGAAAGGGGGGTTTTTGGTTTCTGAAAGATGGATAAACCGATGAGAAGTCATAACAGTGGTGGTGATTAATGGGCAAATGAGGGAATGATTAAGCCGGACGGATAGCAATTACATTAATGACTCTGTAACATGCAATGTTATGAAGATTGCGGAGAGGTAGAAAAAGGTTGAAGTACATATGAAAGGATTATTAGAGAACGGGCAGTAATGTGGAGAGTAATTGTTAATTAACAGACAAATAGGAAACGGATTAAGTTACAAGGATTGTTGAAGTTACCGTACTTTCACTTCAGTTATTTAAATAATTAACTGCTTTTGACGAGAGCCAGTAGTTGGACGGACGCAGGGCGTGGCTATTGGACCGTATCGAAGAAGCAATTCGCATTTGTGTGTGCCATCAGAATAAGGTCAATAATATGGGGTCAAAAAAAAAGCACGCAAGGAGATTCTTTAGCTTAATTCGCTGATCCATGATATCTGGTTACTTGATCTGAAATTAGATTAGATTACCTTATAACAAGAAAGGGAAATAAAAATATAATTGAAGATAAAAAAATTGTTCAGCTGTTAGAATATTTAAATTTTCAGTTTATCGAAAGAATACGAATGGTATTTCTTTTATTTAGAACTTAGAGTTTCCTCTTACGTTCGAAGAGATGAGTCTTACCAATAGACATTAAGGAATTTTGTTGTCATTTATTCAATTCGAAATAAACTCATCTCTCTCATTAAAAGAAGGAAATAGCTGATAGGTTACTTTCCAGCTCGATAATAATTATATGAATTTGATTCACCTACAATAAAAATCTTCAATTACTCTTCCTTTTTCTTCAATTACTCTCTTCTTCCGTCTCATACTATTTTTCCCTTGCAGATCCAGTGGTTGATTAATAATTATGAACCAGCTGATGGTACTTCTCTCCCGCGTTGTACGCTTTACAGCCATTATATCAAGTAAGTTGCTGACTAATGTGAATAATGATGATTTAGCATAATTTAACACATGATAGGAAGTATTCCACTAAGCAGTTCACAATTGTCTAAATTTACATTTCCCAATCAGTACTTGGAACGGACACTGATATCAGATTTCGAGTCAAATTTCTAAAAAAATCTTATAATAAATCTTATATAATAAATTTGCCCGATTAGTTTGAAACTAGGAAAGGGTTTGATAAGAGTACATGACCAACATAAAGATTTTCCCCAGTACTTCGGAAAGAAAAACGCCTCTTACCTATAGTGCAGTAGAAATTTCTTCATAATCTTTGTCAAGCAGGCTGGACAAATTTAAAACGGATGCTCAGCAGATGGACTAGATTTTTTTGTAAATTACTCCTTCACATGAGTATCGTTACACTAGTATTAAATCATAAAATGCTAATTTTATACATCTTTAATCAATCACTGGATAATTTAGATTTCATAACAACGTAGTATACTCATTTCTCTCAATCGGGCAGTAACCAACAAATCTAAAATTATTGTTTTAGGCACTGCAATGAAAATAAACTCGAACCGGTAAATGCAGCTTCATTCGGTAAGCTTATTCGGTCAGTATTTCACGGCTTACGCACACGTCGACTTGGTACACGCGGTAACTCCAAATATCATTATTACGGGATTCGGATTAAGCCTGACTCTCCACTAAATCGAGGCAGTAGTGTTGCGATGACGTTGGGTGAAGATTACAACCGCACACCATTGATATCCTCAGCTCAGTCTGTAAATCAGTTACCGCCAAGAAGGTATGGCAAAAGCTTAAATTTTCTTCATGAATTTAGTTCGAAAATGTTGGGAATGAAAAATTTAAGAGTTTTAAAATTTTCCATCCTAAAAGATTTTGGAAACATTAGGACTTAGCAGACACTAAATGATTTCAATTTTCACCGTCACTTTGTTAACATTTATTGAAAAAAATTAAAAAACAAAACATTGACTGGAAAATGAACCGGGAGTACAAGAAATGAAGATATTGCCACCTTTGACAAGAACATTTTTTCGGTTTAGCATTTTAGATGTAGGTTCCGTTATGCAGGAAGTTTTTTTTTCTACTTTTTTATTTTTTTTTGTACTAACAATTACGAGCAAATTGTTTTCCCATCCATAGCTACAAAACTTGGCTATCTGTAGAGTTTTAATCGAAACCAGATAAAAGTTTGTTGGAGTTTCACGATATGAATACATACGAAAAGCATAAAGTCGAGATTTTAACCAAACAAAAATTTCATTAAATTGCAATATTTCAAGGGCAAAAAATGAAGTTTTTCTTGGTTTTCGCAGATTTCGTTGACTTTTTAAACAGTACCTTGAAATTATTCTTTTCCATCCACATACCATTTCCTTATTATTTGTAGTTCATCTCGGCGTTCCACTTTGGGGTCCAATTCAGTAATTACTCGACGAACCAGTTCTACTGTGATGGAAACAGACACAGCGCTTAGCCAGTCTATAAATTCCAGATCGTAAGTTTACAACTGGATTAATGATTCTATGTATTGCTGAACGGATTAAATTGCTGAGTGGTAAATATAACAAGCGGGATATGCAATATTTCTTGCGTGCTATATATAGTCTTCCAGGAATTCCTTTTTCTTTCTTTTTTTTTTTCAGGAGTCCACCTTCCACCTACGAACACAGTATCTCATCGAATCATGGTACTTTCAGTACATATCGGAATCAGAATGCTAATCCTTTGATAGGCGGCGATAACTGCACAGGTACTTTGGAACTAACTTTTCGGAAAAATGATGTGTAGAGATGGAGGAGAAGGAACTTTGAAAAGACTTAAAAAATGAACATTTTTGAGACATTCCAGTTTTCAGTTTAATTGTATGGCACTTCCTCGGATTGATATTTGCTACTCATGAAATTTAGTGAAAGTAGATTTTACTTCAGACATGGACAGAGAAATTCTTGGTGATGGTGAAGTGCCACATGTTGGAATACCCGACATGCAAGGCTTGGAAAGTTATTTGCAACCGTTAGGCTTAACTTTACAACATGCAGTGCGTTTCATTGAAAGCTACACGACAAATTGTGCTGTAAGTTGAGAAATTTCATTATATTTCCATTCGGAAGTTTGGAAATTATCATCCCAAGTTTGCTGGATGCATCTCATCGTATTTCGGTGTATTCTAACGTAGAAAAGTTTTTTTCTTGGTTTTTTCCTCAGTTTTTCTTAATAACATTACCCTATAAAGTTATGGCCGAAGAAAATAAAGTAACTTCATGATGCATGAATGAAGATAAGTTGGTTGGATAAATTTTATTTCAACATGATTTTCGACATTTTTCAGGAAGTTTTGGAATGCGTGAAACAGTTGCATTTCGATGTGGTAGAAGAGTGTTGGATAACTTTTTGGCAACCGGAAAATGATCAGGACGATGTGGAAGATGAAGACTGTGCTAGCAATGAGTGCGTTTGAAATTTTTTACGATGAATAGTTCAGTTGAAGACCCCAATTTTCTGCAAATTTTTGTACAATGCGTTAAAAGTAGCATAAAATAGATAATGAATTCTACTTAAATTCACTCTTGCTACTGTTGTTCGATGCATGAATTGGCTATATTCTTTGGATTCATTTAGTAAAACACTGAAAGGCCTCAGTCAAATCCAACTGTTTCGTCTGTGTACAGTGCCTCAAATGCAGGCATTCGTCCAAAATATGGATTTTTCATTTTATCAAGTGATTGTCGAAGTTTTGATTCCGGATGTATTGAGCTCTAACATATCAGGTTAGTCTCTACAACTTCATAATTTTTGAATCGATCGTGAAAATGTTGCTGTTTTGGTTTTTATTTCAATTTTTATGAATCGCTTTCCCTAAAGGAATAAACACTAGAGTGATTGCGAGGAGTATACGACGCTTTTAAGTTTCCGATGATATGGATCATCAAAACATCCTGATTACGTGTAAGAAAAAGAAAAACAATTTTTTTCTTTTTTGCTGTTTATAGTGAATGCTAATAAAATAACTTCTAGGAGCATTAACTTTACAAATTCGTAATTTTGCGAAATCGCTGGAAATACAGCTGAAGAAAGCAATGCAAGGAGCTCCAGATGTTATTCAGAAGAAAAAACTTGTCGCTGTACGTACATTGGCACAAACATTAAGGCGATATACATCTCTAAATCATCTGGCATCTGCTGCACGGGGCGTCTTACAAAAGCCGGATCAAATTCATCAGATGCTTCAAGACTTCAACCGAGTTGATATAGCCAGCGTTCAGGACCAGGCTGGGTTCGTCTATCATCCTTACTTGATTCTTTTCCCATGATTGGAACTCATATCTGGTCTCAGCTGGTGCTGATTTTAAAGTAAAGTCTGCCGCGATGCTACATGGAAAACTGCTAAGAATGGTGTCAAAACATGATGTCATATATTATCGACGACACCACATTTAGCAGCAATCCTGTTTCAAACTAGGTTAATTTAGTTATGACTTATATGTGACTTTGACAATAATTTCACTAACGATTTTATAAATTTTTAGATGGGTATGCGATTGTGATCCAGTACTGGTATCCAATCTCCAGTCTGATTTTCGAGAGAATTTGCAGAAACAAAAAAGCTTAGAACAATGGGCTGAATGGATGGAAGCTGTCGTTGATCAGGTTTGTGGTAGTAAATTGGCGAAATTTGCGATCAAATTACGGCATGCATTAAACCATTCCCAAATAACTTTTAATTGTTTATTGATGTATTTAACTCTTTAACTGTTTTGTGCCATTAGTTTGAGTTTCAGGTACTAGCAAAATATCATGACAAACCTTATGGTGTCTTGGCAGATGTTTCGAAACATTTTTTGAAGAACTGGTCTTTTTATAGGTAAGTCAGCTGTTTGCCTAGACTTAAATAATTTATTGAGACTAATTTTATCCTTTATACTCGTTTTGTTTATGCTGTAATGGATAATCCGGCGGGATTTTTATTTGGATAATAATATTTTCAGTTCCATGATAATACGAGATCTCACACTTCGTTCCGCTCAGTCCTTTGGTTCCTTTCACCTTATCCGTCTACTTTTCGATGAATATTTGTTGTATTTGGTGGAATTACGACTTGCTAAAGCTTCGAACAAGCCAGTCATTTATGTGATGACACAGGTTTTAAGTAGAAAATATTTTCACTTTTTTGATATTTTGTCGTTTTTAACAGTGCAGATGCTACGTCCTTTTATTCTTATAATTAGTTATTTAAGTATTAATACAAGAGAAGAACTGCAGTAACAAGCTCTCATCGATCCGGAAATCTCTTTTTCTCCATTTTGGGATTTCAACGTTTTTCTTTTTACCAAAATTTTTTAATAGTCGGAAAACGGAAATAAATGTTTTAATTAATTTCATGTAACTTACAAAATTTTAAAATTGGATGCATTTAGTCATTCCAGTGATTCCGCTTTTACTTGTCCAGTTTATAACTTCTTTCGTATTTTAGGTAATGCAAAATATTATACTCAATGAAACGACTGCTGTAGGAACAGGAGGAATGGAAATCCTTGCACCGCAACCGATCGTAGCATCAAATGGTATTGGCCTGCTTCCAACCGGTAATAATTCGCATTTCTTCACTTCGCTGGAAGCTCATCCGGGTGTCAATATTGTTTATATGGATGAAAGATCCGGTCACACCCAGACCATACATTATGTCGGTGTGGGGTCGAATACGCCACCGCATATGGATACGTTAGAACAAATTGTCCAAAGTAGTGGTAGGTTTTTTGGACTTTAAAATATTCTTAATAACCAAGTTAATTAAAATAATAGATTAGTTATCCAGGAATACCATTATTTACATGATTGAGCGAAATGATTATTGAAAAGAGGATGTAGTGGTGGCAAAAATTATTATGTTGTTTCATCGCTTTAGGTAATTCAAGTGATCTTTTCAGAAATGACTTTAGAAGATGTGAAGAATGATCTCGACGAAGGGGAAAGGAAGAATTTGAATCTCATATGAAATATGTAAATCAGTTCGTTATTAAGTATTATGTTTTCTAGCATTTTGTTTTCACGAAATTTATTTGTTGTTTATATACATTTTTTTTTATTGTCTCTGTTCTTAAAAGGTGCAGAACTAGGGGTACAAAAATAGATGGAGGAAAGATTTGAATAAAATTATGTTTAGCATCAAAATGACGTTCTTACAACCTGCCCTAAACCGTGGTTTAAAAAATTATTACGATTTTTAGTTTACCATTGACAGTTGTACTACGGGATGGAATTTATTTTCCAGAAAGACGATTTAGATTATAATACAGATCCAGTTCGACAATAAAGTTTCCAATCTTTCTGAATTAGCATTTTGCATATTGATGTTTAGTATGTTTTCCGTATTTAGTTCATGAAATATTGCAAATATTCTGTTGGAATTGTAACATTTTCTATTTGTCACGATAAAATGATTACATGCGTTAACTCTTTTGGCTTATGTAAATCATTTTGATGGCATCATTTGATTACGGTTTATGCTGAATGTGTGTTAGTGCTGGAGAATGGTAGCATCAATTGTTTTCAAGGGTAAGAAAAGCGGTCAATGAATCACCAGTAGGTGATATGCTAGAAAATTGTACCGCTAAATGCGAAACACATCTATCAGAAACCTTTTGGACGACCCTTTTGCGTACTAAAGATGAGATTTACTGGTGATAGAATTGATAAAATCCAAAGATTTTTTTTCAGATATCTAGAAACTTTAAATCACTCAAATGATTTATCATGAGAAGTGGATTATTATAGAAGGAATTAACCATTGATAGTTGCACGTGTGTCATCATATACGCCATTATAATATGAAAGTGATTAAATTCTTCCTACTACATGAAAAGAGTTGCAAACAAGACTTGGAAGATTTTATTTTCCTTGAAATTCGAAATTGACATAATACTAATTTTCGTCCCCTCGGATGACTTATCACCTAAACATCATATCCTTAACTGTAAAGATCCGTAGATAAGGTCACACATATCTGCTTCCTGAAACCGAAACTTTGTCGTGAATTTTAACAAGTAATTGTTGAAATGAGCTGTGTAGAAAATTTATAGGGTGGACTTTTTTCGTTCAATGTTTTTGTCCACCTTTGCAAACATTTACATTTTTGAAATTCAAAAACTCTCATTATACGCATTTTATGGAATTATAGCAGATGAATAACTTCCTTGTTTTAATCTAAAAATCGGAAGAGGACTGATAAATTTTCAATTTAAACTGATATTTGTTTTTCTATGATACTTTACAAATTTTCCTCCATAAACACCGGTACTTCCTGAAGTACCTCGTATTCTCGATCCTGTTTGTTGTTCGATTGAAACAGAAATAGGAAAATTTATTCAATGTTATTTCATTTCTTTTTTTGAAAAACTATCACATCTCCTTTTTTTTTCCACATTTCATATACTTCACATAACATTTCACATGCTTGTCTAAAATCTTATTTATAATTATTTTTGGTTTAATTTTACAAATTTTATAACAAACTGGGAATTTTCGAGAATTTCAAATTAAAATGAAATTTCCACTAAATTGATTTGCATTAAAATCATTGTTGAATAGGGTTACATACCAATTTATGAAGCATATTGTCAAATCCAAGCATAATGTTAGACCAGAAATTGCAAATGAAGAATTACTACACAAGAAAAGAATCCAAAGCTTTCAGGAAAAATCAAAAATCAAGAAGAAAGATTTCTTCAGCTGTAAGCTATTCTCTCCATCTTCATGGAGGTATGAAATGAAGCAACGGTCGGTCCTGTTTATTTCAATGACAAATGAAAATGCCTTCATGATTTTGAAATTTAATATTTTCTTCGTCAAGAGGACGAAATGATCTGCGCATTTGTCACATCAGTATTTTTCCGCAGTAATGTAGTTTTGCTTATAATTGAATGTTCATCATGTTGGAAAATGTGTTGAATTTTGATTTGAGATGAAGAATAAAAAAACAAAACTTTTTTTCAACAAATTTTGAGAAACTCTCAGACAATGTAGTGTTTTAGAAAACATTCACTTCCCCAGAAATTCGAGAATTTGAAATTTCAAATTCATAAAGGGTCACTTTTTTTCGATCTTTAAACTTTCATAATTTGCATGATTCATATATTTTAATTTTGTTGATTGAAAAAAATAATTTTTAGATTATCAGAAGGCACTTCCTTTTTCCAAAATTGTTTATTTTTTTTTCCATCCACTTTCGCTCTTGTATGAATAGCTTATCCATTTGATAAAATAATGCCTGCAATTTGTTTTGTTTCTAACCTTTAACTCTCAAAATTAGTTTTTTTTTCTTTTTTTTTTGTATTTCTAAACACAGCTTAGGAGGCAATATGTAGCTAGTTTTAGAACAACATAATTAACAAAATAATGATGGAATTACTGAAGTTTTGGGAGAGATTTATTGATTCCATCACTTTGACTACAAAGTTTAGGTGGTTTCAACACTCTGACTGTAAAATTTAGGTGGTTTCAACACTTTGAACGTAGAGTTTAGGCGGTTTTAACACTCTGGATGCTTATTTTAGCTGGTTTTGATAAACAAATTTTGCAAACAATCAAAGAACGAAAGATCCAGCATACAAGTAAAAAATGGAATTTTTCATATTAACTGAAATAACTCACAAAAAGTATTAGAAAAATCATTGTAAAAATAAATGATTGGTTCCAGTTTTTAGTGAACATTTTGTTTATGAACAAATATTATTTCCTATTGGATGGCTGTTTATCAGTACATATGATAAGAAAGCCATATTAAAGCTATAGCAAGTTATACTTTTAGTTTTCTGTTGGAAATTCTTTGGTAAATATCAGTATATGTTTGTAGATTCATGCATGATTGTCCTTTTGGAAATGTACGATCTCCTGATAATTTGTAAAATAGTGAAATCATTAATACTAACGACAGTAATCTTTTCATTTTATACGACATCTCTTAACTGATGCATTCTCCTGAATTTCACTGCAACTAAATGTTTTGTCCATTGTCGAGAATTATTGAGATTCTAGTCTCAGGAAAGTTGCTCACATGTCATGTTTTGAAATTTTCTTGCCCTTTGAACTTTTAATCTCACATCATTTTATTTTGTATCTGAAATACTTTTGCAATCATTTTAACTTAATGATTTCCAATGTTTCATTGTGCAATTTTGCAGTATTTGAGTAATTTCTCAATAATGTTTGCTTTCTGAAAAAATTTTTAAAATATGGAAATGTTCTGAGGAAAAAAAAATCAAAAAAAAAGTGTTCCAGTAAGTAGGAGAGTTACTATATAGTGATCATATTTTTTTCCTTTAGGAATTTTTTTTGAAATATCAGTTAATCTTGAATTGAATAAAATAAATTTAACTATTTCCGGATAGCAATTCTCGAAATGTAACAAAAAGTACATTAAATTAAACTATGACTGTGACAACGAACATTAGCAAAATGATGATGATCAATTGTTGCATTCGTTCAATTTACGCTTGTATTTTAAGTTAATCAGTAAGCTTCCCGCAAAAATTTCATTATACTTTTGGTGAAAAAAAAAAAAAAGAAAAAACTTGATGAATACACAGAATTGCGTAGGTGTTGTCGTCAACAAGGGTAAAAGTATTGATGTTATTAGTGGAACTTTTAAGAAAATTGCTTCTGCAATTTCATTTCTTCTTCTCTATTGAAAGGTCATTTGAAATTTTCATTTAACAATTTTCAAATTTTAGTTTTTTGTCATCTAGTGACAATTTTTCTAAAAAAAAAAAAAAAAAAATAACGAAACAAAATTTGCAATGTAAACTATGATGAGAGTTAATTTAGATGGATGAGACATAATAATATTATTTTCTGATCCATAAATTTTATCAACTTCCCATTATTATCCCACCAATCTATTCATATAAACATATAATTACTTGCAATAATTAGTATTTTATCCATCTATTAACAAAGAAAATACAAATTACAATTTATCATTCATTTATGCAAAACTTTTTCATGTCATACTTAAAATGGCTCCAATTTTTCATTAATGAATGTTACTTCTCATTAAGCTCTAAATTACAGGTGAGAATAGTAAAATGTTACTGTAATGAATCATTGAAAAATCTTTTCATTCATATAATTATCAGTCTTATCATCTCTTTTTTTTTTTTGGTCATCAATGAGTAAAATTATCAAAATTTATTGATATTTCTTCTTAAATATTAGTTTACTATATTTTTCTTATTTCTTTAATCCTTCAATCATTTTTATTCCTTTCCCTAAAATAATTATAATTAGGAAAGATTAATTTAGTTTGATTAATTAATTCAACCATCGAATGCCTCCTTTTTTCTTGTTAATGTTTAATAAATGGTAATTTTAAAATGATATCAAGGTATTGATTGATTGGTGATTTAATTGATCGGTGTAATAAATAACACGAATAAGTGTATAAATGCATTTCTCACTTATTTCATTCTTTAATTTTATCCATTTCTTTTTTTAAAATTAATTTTTAGATCAAGTTTTTTAGATAAGAGAAACATTTAAGTTATAGGCAAAAAAGATTATTCAATAATTAGAAATATAATTGACAATAAGTAACTGATGCAGCGATTAGCTGTCAATTCCGTTGTATTCAAGAATTAGAAATATAATTGACAATAAGTAACTGATGCAGCGATTAGCTGTCAATTCCGTTGTTATATTTGTTATCATTTAAATCAGTTGCAATCAAGTTGACAAGTTGACGGTGACATTTCTCCTTGTTTTCCTTTCTTCGTAGAATAATTGATATGAATTTGAGCATGTATTTCTGCAAAAAAAAAAAAAAAAAAAATAATCAATTTGCATGGATTGAGTGTGAGAATAAATTAATAGAAATTCTATTTAATTTTTTTTTTTTGAGAAAGTTAAATAATTAAAAAATCTATTTACATTTACATTTCATTCCACATTAGGTGACATAATTGCATACGGCGCGTCATCTATAGGAGTGCGGCTGGAAATGTCACCTAACATCATTCATGGTCATTTCAGGAATACTGCGTCTGCTAATTTTAACACAAATTAATAAATTATATTGATGAGTAAAAAAAGTTATTGCAGATCAAAATTTTTACGGGGATTTCTTTTGAAGTCATCAATACATCATCTCCAGAAGATTATATGACAACTGAATTATGTGACATTTTTGAAAGTACTCCATTCTCTGCTTTCGTTCATCCTATCGTCAACTTAATCATCCATTAGTTTCATTGTTATTTCACTTATCCTCTTCTTATCATATCATAATCACATCCCATTTTTTTTCTTATTCTAATTCCTTTGTCTTTTTT